CTGGGCTCAGAGGGAGCGTACGAGTGAGTCCGCGCGCGGGCCCTTTAGAGGAGCTGCTGGGGCTCCCGCAGCCTCCGCGACCCTCAGGGACAGTCCCCGCTGGTTTCACAGCCCGGAGTTGTGGGGACGTCTCTTCCCCGCCTGGAGCCCTGGGCTGGGGGCCTGATGTGGGGCTGGGACCCCTCCCTCCTCCAGGAAACCCCCACCGCCGAGATGTCCCTCCCGGCTTTAAACCGCGGCACCGGTTGTGGGCCCCCGGCGGTCTCTGGACTCAGCCCCGACCCCCCCGCGTCTCCGACCCTCCTACCAGTCTTGGTGCTGCTTCAGTTTCCTGGTTGTAGGGCTTCTGTTCAGCCAGATTTCAGGAGGCTCTGAATGATGGTGGTTCTGTATCTTAGTTGTAGTTTTGATGTGGTTGCGGGAGGTGGCGGGCGCAGCTGTTACCTGCGCCGCCACCTTGTTTCTTCCCAGGGACTCAATTCTTTGGAAACCACTTTTTTGTTCCCTTTTCCTTTGCCCCCTACATTTGTTCAGCTGCTATGTCCAGCTCTACAATGTTTTTCTGACCTGCCTTCTTTTCTTTCCCACAGTCAGCCATTCTGATAGGGGCTGCAAGGGCTTAAAACTCGGGCCAGTGTATGGGCCTCCAAACTGCTCTCCCACCTCTGGCTCTCTCCTTGCCAATCATTCATTCTACCATCTGCTACCAGATTCATCTTTCTCACCCTAAATAAAGTCCCTCTTCCATTCAAAACCTTCAGTGGTTTTCCCACAGCCCACTGACTTAAGGTAAACACTCCGCAGGATAACATTTTAGACCCTCCACAATATTAATTCAGCAAATGTTTACTGAATTCCTGTTGTGACCTAGGAACTAGGCTAAAAACAGGGAATATAAAGATATAAAGAGAGAGACAGCGATGCAAACACCAAATTCACTGTCATGAGGAGTGCAATAGCGATGATATAAACAAAGGGCACCAGGGTCTCTAATGTGTTCTCTTAAGCCATCCTTCCACCATCATCCCCCAATTCTCCATTCCAATCCAGCCAAACTGGACTAGACCTCACTTCTTGATTATGTTCAGGGTTGTTTTTATTTTCTGCCAGGTCTCTATACCTCAGTCCCACACCTCATTTTCACTTTTTAAAATCCTGTTTGTCTTTTTAATTTTTTTTTTAATTCTCACCCGAGGATATTTTTTCCATTGCTTTTTCAGAGAAAGTGGAAGGGGGGGAGAGAGAGAGAGAGAGAGAGAGAGAGAGGGAGAGGGAGAGGGGGGGAGAAACATCAATGTGAGAGACACATCAATTGGTTGTCTCCCCAACAGACCCCAACCGGGGCTGAGGATCTAGCCTGCAACCGAAGTACATGCCCTTGGCTGGAACCAAGCCTGGGACCCTTCATTCCGTAGGCCGATGCTCTAACCACTGAGCAAACTGGCCAGGGCAATTCTGTCTTTTCCTGCACCCTCAAATAAGTCCTCCAATGAAGCTGCCTATGAGGGCATTTCCGTGTTATCTATTTGTACTCTTTTCTTTAGTGGCCAGTTATCTGTGGACCTTACTCTGCTGCACACTCCACCGGGGCAAGGACAACCACAGCACTTTTGTCCCCCACAAGCATTCAGCAGACAGCTGCCCTGCAGAGCCCTATGGTGAAGCCAGGAGGTGGGTGGGGCTAGGGAGGCAGCCTGCCATTTTGCCTTCTCATTGGATAACTAGAGCTGTTCAAGTTTCTAGTTAGAATTGGCTACATAATTTGGTGGATCCAGTGCAAAATGAAAAGGCAGAACTCCTTGTTCAAAAATTACTCAGACTTTCAAGACGATGACCACCGAGCATTAAACCAAGGGCAGAGCCCTTCTAAGTGTGGAGGCCTGTGCGGCTGCACAGACAGCACTCCCATGAGGCTGACCCTGTCTCTAGGGTCAGAGGTGCTGCACCAAGTTGTCCCTTAGAAAGACAAATAATTCTGCCTTCACCTTATTAAGAGACTTTCTTTTTATCAGCTCAGGAACCTAGTGACTAGGGAGAAATGCAGATCCCCTAGGAAGCCCCATTTTAGCAAGTCTTACATCTTTTGCATGGGCCTGGCTATGATCTATGACAACCTGATAAGGATAATGGGAATACTGGCCTCAGGTCAGTCTGTCTTCAGCCTTCTAAATGGCATCGGGAAAGGGCTGGTGAAGTGGGGATTGGAGGGTTCAAGGTGATGGTTAAGCTTTTATTAGTCTGCCCATGGTAACCAGGGCTCCTTTTTTCTGCCACCTAGGTGGGCCTTCACTTATTTACTAAAAAGAACCTTACACCAGGAGTCCTTAAAAACCAGGCCTAGGTGGGGATGAAGGTATTGTATACATTGGGTGTGTTTTACAGCTGGACATAAATGGCTTGAGTCTAACTTTTCTATTCAAAATCTTGGATAATTAAGGTCTTTTGCTTGAGGGGTACTATAGGTTTCAGGTACCCCGGAATCCTCTGATATCCTTGAGGCCAGGAATTCATTCCACTGGGAATCCATAAGGCAAAGCTGAGTCAATATGTGAAGCAGGTGCTCTTGACTTCAGACCTCATCTTTCTTCCACCTCTGCCCCTCCAAAGCTCTCTCCAGGGATCTAACTCAGGAAGCACAAGTGAGGCCAAAACCTTGGATTACATTCCTGGAGAGGGCAAAGAATAAACTGGCAGGCAAAGCGAGATGTTAGGCCTGGAGTGGAGCCAGGCCCAATGCTGGGCAGAGTCAGAGCAGCCACAGTACTCCCCTCCCCCCCCCCACAAAAGTGCCACCTTAGGCTCTGGGCTCCCAGCAACGTGGGCAGAGCTCATTGTTGACCATTCATCCAAGGAAATTCTTCAAAGGTCCCTGACACATTTCCAGTGGATTGGGGGCTTTCTTAATGAGGGAGAACTATCTTTCCCATCTCCCCTTCCCACTCTGTCTCTGAATCAGATTCCTTGTCCTGGCATTGAGCATGGCGATTTATTTTATTAATGTACACGTGAGGGGAAAATGCATCATTTCTGTAGGTCGATGGAAGAAACATCTGAAGGCTGGGTACTCTCGCCCCTCCTCTGGTAACCAGGGCTCTTCGCTGGAGAGATTGAGTTGGGCTGGTGATGGAGGTAGCAGGAAGATGTTTGGGCACTGAGAGGGCTGGGAGGGGAGGAAGTATGATCTGTGGTTACAACTGCTCCGATTCCCTTACTCGGGGCTCTGGGTTCTCCATCATGCCAAGCCCTTTCTCTGCCTTTGCTCTTTGGAGTTGAAGACCAACTGACACAGGCCTGTTGGTGGACTGAGGGTTTTGGATCATTGAGAGTTGTGAGTCCTTCTCTAAAACACTCCTCCCCTCACATTGCTCTGTCTGGGGGAGTGTTCTGGATGATGGTGCCATTTGAGGGATCCATAGGAATGACACTCATAGGAGCAACTGGGGTATGTCCTGGGACAGCACCAATAACTCCCAGAAGTCATAGTTCTACAGCACTGGCAGCTAACTGGGAGGCGGCAAAAAACAAGGCTGTTGGACTCAGTGGTGCTAATGAGAGGGAGGTAGTTATATGACCAGGATATCTAGATGAGAAAATAAAAATTTTGGTTGATCCTATGGGCATTATACACAGTGTAAGAAGAGACATATTATTTCCTGGGAGTAAAAAGTAAAAAAAGGGGGAGGGGAGGCAGGAATGGCAGAGATCCAGGCTGATTCTGGAAAAAAAATTAAAAAAAAAATCTTACATTTTCCTTTAAAATAGTAAAATGGCCTCTAGAATATTCAAGTCAATTAACCCATCATCACCATTCTTATCCAGTGGGTCAGGAGGTGCTCAGGTGATCCACATCCATGGTCACCAGAACTCATTTTAAATACATTCATTTTACAACATTCATCGTCTTGCACCCCTGTGGCCCCAAACATTTGATATAGACCATTTGGCCAGAGATAATATAGGGCAGTGATTAAGAGCACAAGCTTAGGAGCTCTCATCTGTGTGTCCTTGGGCAAGTTACTTGACCTCTCTAAACTTTGGTTTCCTCATTTGAAAAGAGAAAGAATAACAATGGTAGGTCACCACAGAGTTTCTTGGAGGATTGAGATAATGCATGCAAAGCTTTTGGAAAACCAAAAGCAAGTATGTCTTGTCCAGTCCATGCTGAGTTTATCACCATCAGCACAATATCATCACCATCACCATCATTATGGCAGCTACCATTTATTCAGTGAGATGCCAGGCGCCCCACTTTAGCAAGCTTTAATCGTCCTTAAAATCCTACAAAATAGGCTATTTATCCCCTAAAACTCAACTGTTGGCCCTGGGCTCATTTACTGACCCACTCTGAAAGTGGATCCAGAGGACAAATGATGAGGTTACAGTGATTTAAGCAGAAAAATGGAGAAATTCCTCACACGGGTCAGACCAGCCCTATGCTCATGGCAGAGTGGTAAAGAGGAAGCAACATTGGGCTCTTTGTCCAGAGCCCATCACTTGTATGAGATGGGGCAAGTCATTTAATGTCTCCAAACCTTCATTCCCTTCATCTGCAACTTGAAAATAAGGTAATAATGTCTGCCTTGCCAATCTCAGCATGACCTCAGGATTACATGAAATATAGTAGGTAAACTGTGTGTGAAAACTATTATTATTACACCTACCAAGAAAGCCCCCGACCCATAATTTGGACCTCCGCTCTGCTCTTTCCTTCTTTCATTCCACCATTGTTTATTATGCAGAAGCCCTATTCTCACACCACTTCCTGCGCCATTTGAAAATCAATGCGTCGATAGACATTCTACTGTACATAATTAGACCTTTGCAGGTTTGCCTTGTATGTAACAGTCCTTTGCAGTCTGATTAGTTGTAAATTATAGAAACCATTATTTGACCTAAAAGCAGAGGGTCAGCTCTGGGGTCTGGTGACTTCACATGGTATTCTGAGGCCCTGCTTGGTCTTGGTCATCTCTGCTACCTACAGAAAAGCCTTCACTGAAGAGCCATTTATTATGCCCTCAGCTCTAACCAAAAGCTAATATTTAAAATGCCATTTGAGCCCTGGCCAGTGTGGCTCAGTTGGTTAGAGCATCGTCCCATGCACCAAAAGGTTGCTGGTTCAATTCCCAATCAGGGCACATGCCCAT